CTATAGCTCGCTCACACCGAAGACCTATCCACGTCATCATTTACCCAGAATTCTTTGCGTGTAAATAAAATGTCCCTTTCTCTGTAATATGTTTTTAAACTTTTAGTTTAAAAATTATAAAAACTAAACAGCTCTACAGTATTTTTACAGACTTTATTTTACAGTTAAAATATATGTTTATCAAATAAAGTCTAATGTTACAACTAATCAGAGATCCCTTTAAGAAAGAGATCATCCTGTAAGGCTGAAAGTTGGATTGTTCAAGTTTGGAGCATGAAGCATGTTTCTTGTAGTAATGATCAGGTTTGTAAACAAACGGACAGGAAAACAACTAATGCTAGCCTGCTCTGTTTAAAAAAACTAAAATAAAAATTGTGTTCGTTTTGGTCAAATCTCCAGGACTACCTTTTATATTAACAATCTGATAAAAAATAAACTCTTTTACCAATCTGAGGTCATTCAAAGAAATACAAGTTTTTAGAAAACCCCACTTCAAAAAATTGAATTATCCCTTTAAAGACAAAAACCCATTGGTATAAATAGTGCTGATAATTCAGAAACAGTGTGGTATTTCATCCAATAACATATATTATTAATATTTGATTTTTAGTGTTTTGTGAATACATCAAATGTATTTTGAGCAAAAAAAAAAAAAACTAAAAACGTAGAACACGATGAAAACAAATGTCATTTCAACTAAAACCCAATAATAAATAATACAATAAGACTGTAACACTTCTTTAAAAGTCTTTTTTTCCTTTGCAACTGCTTTGGTGAATAAAGCTTTCACGGTTCAGTGAAGCAACAAACAGCCGGCAGCAGGTTTTTAAAAATAACTAACATGGGAACAGTTGATCTTTCAGTTTGATCAAACTTCATCAGAACATCCAGCTGCACCTGATAGCAGCGACAGCCAAATTTTAAAAAAAGAAAAAACAGTCTTTCACTTCCTTTACTAGAAGACACAACAACGCTCTTTTCACACGAACTACAGACTCGTTTTTATTCACCGCAGCCACGCGGGAACCTGCAGAAGTAAAAGGCTGCTTCAGAGCGAGCGAGTCAACTTATAGAGAACAACACGAGGACTCAAACACGCGCAGAAACTCCATGAATACAAATCATTGTTTAATAAATCAAAGTTTGCTCCATATTCAATGACACTATATAGCAAATCTATACATAAAATATTGTACTGACAAGAACCACCTGACAGGTCCAATAGAATACTTATATATATAAATTTATGTATTTTTTTATTGTCACAAGTGATAAAAAAATTAAAAAAAAAAGTGAACAGATTGCAGAAGCTGATTGAGAACTCGATGGTGAAAAAGAAAAGAAAAGAAACTTCTTCGTGACACAATCCAGGACCGTTGACTCCGGTTGCAGAAACACTTTCAAGAACTGTTTTGTTTCCACAAGAAGAACAGAAAAAAAAAAAAAACTTAAAACTGAGCCACATCTCAGATCCTTGATTCGTCGTCCTTCACTTTTTGTTTTTCCTGACATAAAGTCTGATTGTAGGGAGAAACGAGAGGGCTGGAGCTAGAATAAGACTTACTAGACATAAATGCGAGTAAAGCAGGAAGAAGGTGGGGCTTCCTGTTAGTTTTTGAGGAAGCGCAGCATGGACAAAAGGAGTTAGGCACTGCCAGCAGTGGACATGCAGAGGACAACAATCTGCCTTTTCCTACTCTTCCAAAGCTAAAGAAAGATCTGCTTCAACTCAAAAAGTTGTTTAACATGAACGTGTTTAAAGAAGCCAAAACACCAAAATAAACAGATGGTAAAGCTTTAAAATGTTAAGAGATTAGCTTCCTGGAAATCAGAGCGTGACTTTGGTTTTTAACGCCAGAAAGCCACTATATATCCACACAGATAGCAAGGTTATGTACATATGTTATTATTTTTATACACGTATGACTGAAAASCAGTGGAGTTTTACTAAAACGTGGTCAGATGTGACGCCTCCACTCAGAGCTTTGACAAAAACCGTTTCACACGGAGACACTCCCGCAGTGAAAAACAATCCATGGCTGCTCAAAGTGCAAAAAGGACGTTGACTTCCTGTGCTACAAGCGACGGACCTTGGACGGAGGAAAGTGTGTTTGTAAAAAATCACGTCCTCCTAAAACCTACGAGTGCCAAAGCCTGAAACCCGCTCAACTGCCTGTTCATAGATCTGCGAAGAGTGAAGCAGAGACGTGCAGGAAAAGAGACGAGGTCAGCAAGAAGGAGAAGAGGAAGCGAAATTTAAATTAGGGGCAGCACACACAAGCAAAAGAAAAAAAATTATATAAAAAAAAAGTTCGGGGTTGCTTTATGTTGTTGCCTTTTGGTGCGAGACTGCTCTCACATTGTAGTGAACTGACTGTGCGCTTCTCTCAGCTTGGCAGCGATCTAGAAAATAAAAATAATAATAAAAAAAAAAGCTCACATCAGTATAAAAGGTTATCTACTTCGTATTTCTTTCAGCTGCTTTTCTTAGAAAAAGGCAATGAAAAGGCCAAACTGTAACCAAGTCAAATTTATTTCTAAGCTTTTACCGTCTCGTAAAACTTGACTTGCTCCTCCAGGTACAACTGCATGACCCTGTTGTAGTCGTAGATGCGGTTGCTGTGGAAGTGGTTCATCTCAGCTGAGAGAAACAGAAAGACACCGGGGAGCTCAGAAGGCATGGCACGATAAACGGCACCGCTGACATTTCTACAGACGGAGGCACAGGCCTACCTTGTAAGGAGTAAGACATGGTGCTGAGACGTTTGGCCATGGTGCCTTTGTCCTGAGGGGTGATTTTATTAGTGGCCACTAGCTTGTCCCCTTCCTTCACCTTCTCTATGGCTGCCTGAAAGAAAAGAGCCCAAACCTGATTGGTTTACACCGGCTTTTTATGATTCCTTAATGAATTTAAATACCTGTAAGTGCTACATAGGCTAAGATAAGACTTTTAATTGTGCCAAACAGTGAGCAAACAGAGATACACTTTTGTTTACTCCTGTAGTTCTTTTGTAGTTTCACTGCAAAACTTGTTCTCGGTTCAGATAAAACAAACGCAATAGATGTATAAATGGAAATGGTCAGCAGGTGCTTTCTTTATGTCAAACTTGTGGCCCGCCACAGAGTTTTATGTGACGAGAGCTTCAAAGCCAGCACTGATCATTAACTACATCTCCCATAATGCATGTGGATTATTTTATCAGCAAAATGATGGCATCCCACCACTAGGGCTGTGTATTGGCAAGAATTTGGCGATACGATACATATCATGACAAAGGGGTCACGATACGATATATCCTGATATATTGCGATACTGTAAGCAAGGCGATATATTGCAATTTTTTGGTCCAAAAACTCTGTTAAATAAAAACCTCTTACTGGGGGAAAAAAAATGAAAAACAAAAATTCATTGTCTCAGAAAACTCTAATATTACATAGACATACTTTTGATACATTTAGCTGTGTTCTTCTTTGTATGTATTTTATTTTATTTGTTTCATATTTCTTATTTCATCCATGTTTTCAATTATTAGACTAAATTTGACAATAAATAGTTTGAAAATATATTTTTTGCAGCTTTTAGTTTTTAATATTAATTTACAATATGGTCACCCAACACTTAACAATAGCCTCTACGAGCCAAATGTCTGGCTCACTGCTGCCAACTAGCGGTCAGAGGCTGAACTACAACATAAAAATGAACGGCTGGCAGGAAAGCTGACATTTTAAACCTTAATAAAAAATTGATACAGGGCTTTAGAATATCGATACAGTATCGGCAAATGAAATATCGCGATATTTCAATGTATCGATATTTTCTTACACCCCTACCCACCACCAGGTGGAAGTGCACAGGGTTCAAAAGAAGCCGGCGAAATCAGCCGCGTAAAATCTCCAGTTGGCTGAATTTTTTTAGGGATGCACGATATATCGGTACTGATATCGGTCTAGGCCGATATTGGCAATTTTTTTGAATATCGTTATCGGTCCAGTATGTAAAACTGGGCTGATATTAACGTCTGATATTGATTTCCCACTTTTTAGCTTTGTGTTTCTGTTCTGGGAGTGGAGATGGTTGGTTGAGCGGCATCTGTTTGATCATGATAGTAATATTGACGCTGCGTAACCAGGAATAACTGAAGTACAGCCATGTCAGAGGTCTGGTCATTTATTTACGGTATAAAAAAAAGACCCAAGTGTTTGGGTGTATATGTATAATATAATTTGTGTAATATCGGTAAATATCGGTTATCAGCCATAACAGCAATAATTATATCGGATGTCGATATCAGCTGAAATTTTCATATCGGTGCATCCCTAGAATTTTTGCCACTATTTTTGCTGAGGCCCAGTTGCACTGGGAAGTGGGAGTTTCCCCACTTACAAGTCRTAAATTTAAACTGGAACACCCCTCAAGTGGGAATTCCTCATTAGAAAGAAGTAGAGCACACTACAGCTCAACAATGAGTAAAATTCTCTTACTTTAACTTTTCATAGTTTTTCTGTATTATTCATACCACATTTAGTCAGTGGTACACGTAGTACTTTTCCGTGTTTTTAAGAGGACATGTTAAAACGTTGTTGCTGTGCATGAAATACCACGTAGAGCTCAGTTATTGTTTATTAGCGGTGCTCAGCCATAGAATAAGAAGAGGAGCACATGTTAAGTCATGTTTAGCTAAATCTAAACCACGTGGCCCTCAGTGAAAAYGACAGCCCTGCTTTATGGTGTTAAAGAAATAMATCTCAACAGCTGTGCAAAAAGATACACAGCAATAAGAAGTTAGGGCTGCGTTGTTGCACTTCTGTTCCTAAAGCCTTTCCAGCAGAAACCTGATTTAGACTTTAATAAACGTGAATATTTTTACCTTGTTTGTTGAATCACAACATTTTTTTCTACAAATTAAGTCGAGAGCTGCTTCTGCCAAAGTTGTGTTCAGAAAAACGATGTTGCCTATTTCCTGTGTTAAACAAAATAAAAACTGTACCTTATGGACCGCAATGGTGTCTGGGAAGCATCCGAGAAGACCTTTATATTCATTGTTGGTCTCCATGAGGAAGTGGAGGTCTTTCTTGGGCTGAAAATAAACAAACAGGAGAAGATAAATGGAAAAGGTGAGATGTTTAACTGAGTCTAAAACGGGAATAAAGACGCCAAAGTTAACTCCAAAGCAGGAAACGGTGCAATAACTTGATAAGAGTCACTCAGATAACACCACCATGAATTCAGATGGACACTTGTAAGAYGAGACTCTTCATGGTACAAGAATAAAACATCTACTGATTAATAAACTGGCTAAATAATCTGCTCAGATCGCAGGCGCAGCATCTTTACAGTTTCAGCTTTTTGGATCGTGAGATGAACCCATGTCCAGACCTGATTTGTCCCCAACACTAAACTAAAAGACACAACTAAAACTACAGCCAACAACTCTAAAAGAAATCATCTTGGAGCAGCACAAGCTTACCAAATGAATCCTTCCTCTGGAAGCTGCTGGGACACCAAAAAAAGCCAAGAACTTTATTATACAGAACATTGAGCAGGCTACACATAAACACAATTCAATATAAAAGGTACTGACCGCAAACTCATGAAAATCAATTAAAAATATACGTTTAGGATTATGTCCATAAAGGTGCACATTAGTTGAATGTGTCCTTTAAATAAAACATTGCAAGCAAAAATTTGTGAACAGATGCCAACCACCCTGTGCATTTGTTTTTTCTTTCAAATGAAACATATACTTAAAAGAAAAAAAAAAAGAAAGGATAAGGGAAAGAAAAAATAATATTTTGCTTGATGACCTTAAGAATGCTGGAACGATTTATTGATTTAGTAGAATGCTAAAAGTTTTTTTTAATGAAATATGAACAAAATATTGGTTAAGATTTGTATTTGTGTTGTGATTTGTTGATTATTTGAAATTGTATTGTGTTGTAAGTTTTTTATTTGTGTGTTGTACGTTTTTTTAGGTACATATATTTTTTAATTGGGGCAGATGCTATAAGATTTTATTCTTCTTTCTGCTCCTTTTCATTTGACTACGTTGTGATTGTGTTTTTGACACAACAATGTTGTATTATTTGTTTGTTTCTATTATTATTTGTTTGTTCTTTTATTATTTGTTTTATTATTATTTGATTGTTGAATGAAATAAAGTATTAAAAAACTACGGAAACAGCCAAAGAGACTGAAAATAGGTCAATAATGTTGATAGAAGAGATGTATGTAAAACGAGAAGTCCATGTTGATGTGTTGGTACATATTTACACCAATATTGGTTGAATAAAGTACGCTAAATTAGACTAGAGTAAAAAAAAAAACAATACTGAAGTTGTAAACTATTTCTGCTACATTTCTGCATTTGTTTACCTACCCAGACTACAGCCAGCCTAACGCATGTCAATCATGTGACTCAAGCTTTCAAATGTCTGAAGTGTGAACCCACATTCCAGAAACATATCAATTCTAACTGAAAACAGCTGCAATAAACTCCTAAACATCAATAAAAAAAAAAGTTCAGGACCTTATTTTTCATACTTTGCAATGAGAAACTTTAAAGGAGACATTTCATTTTTTCAATCTTTCTATTTCACGTTTGAATCCTTCACTTGGGGTCCATAACAAGTGGCGCAGCAAAAATTTGGTCTGAACTCCTCCTTGTTGTAACTCCACAAGCCCCTCTTTCACACCGCTGCTGAGGTGTGTCTCAGATGAACTCGTTTTGAGTAGGGCTGTGTATTGGCAAGAATTTGGCGATACGATACATATCATAACAGAGGGGTCACGATACGATATATCCCGATATATTGCGATACTGTAAGCAAGGCAATATATYGCGATATATTGCGATTTTTTTGTCCAAAAATTCTATTAAATAAAAAYCTCTTACTGAAAAAAAAGAAAAGCTAATGTTTACTTACAACGCTAATGCTACCCTTACTCTCTGGCGCTCAAGAGGTAGAGGAGCCAAATGGCTGGCTCACTGCTGCCAACTAGTGGTCAGAGGCTGAACTACAACACAAAAATGAACGGTTGGCAAGAAGGTTGACATTTTAAACCTTAATTAAAAATCGATAGAGCTTTAGAATATCGATACAGTATCGGGAAATGAAATATCGCGATATTTCAGTGTATCGATATTTTCTTACACCCCTAGTTTTGAGGCTGTCTCTTCAAATCCAAACGAGGTGCTTCAGCACCTAGAAACTCCAAGTCCACAACAAAATGTATTTAATGACTAAAAAAGTGGATTTTGCGTGACATGTCCCCTTTAACAACCTATAAACATCTTGAGATACCCATCATAACTTGAGTCGTAGTTCTTAAAGCTTTCAAAGGCCTTTCAGGGTTTTTTTTTATCCTTTTCTTTTTTCTAACTAACTGGTGTTGCCTTTTTGGTCAACACCAGAACACTTTTGGATGAATATTTTTGGTTCGTAAGCCACCAAATTCTCACCTATGAATCATTCAGTCATAAAAAAAAGCTATTAAACTCGAAAAAATGAAATCAGTGTTGTGTCAACAAATAATTTTTGATTGAATCTTTAGGAGCTTTGTTCCCAGCAGCTTGTCAAAAGGTGCGATTTGTTCGTGTTTCTTTAGCCAAATAAATCAAAGCATTCAAAGATAAAGTTCAGCAGAATTAAAATAGTTATTTAGCAAAAACAATGCAACTGATTGAAAACTTAAGAGTGGATCTGATTTAAAAGATGATGCAACGCTCGGGACTTGTCAGGTTTTTGCTGGATGTTTTCCTGTTTCTCAAAGATACTGTTTATCTGCTGGAAATAGCTTCTCTTTAGGCCTGTCACGTTTTGTTTTGTTTCCTCGCTTATCTAAACACACTGCACAATATATCATGGTCAGGTATATGGTCTAAACAGTAAGTAATTAAAAAAATCAATTCAAAAAAGAAAAAACTGGAGAATTATTGATCAAGACCACTTAAGATTACAAGAAGTGAGAGATGTGTAAATTTTTGCACAAGACTGTAGAGATCTACTTCAGATGAAAATTGGGCATCAAAAAGTTGAATACGGGTWAAAAAAAATGGTTATATTTAAAAAAATGTTGACAGAAACAGCAAAAGCTGTGAGCTGAGACATAATGAGGTCTAAATTATACTTTAAGATCTTTAAATCATCTTTAACGGTTCTCAAAATATAACTGTGCCAACAAAACCCAAACATAATGCAAATCTACTTTTAAAATGATAAAAAGGCTTTGAGAATCCTCTAATTCTGCAGAAGTATTGACAGTTATTTCCACATAGGAAACCAGAAACCACAAAAAACAGCACACTGTCGTGGTCTGAATCGGAAACTGGGCCAGCTGCAGCGACGGATTCGGCTTCTCTACTGCGCCGCTCTGCGCCGCGCTCCGCCAGGTGAGCTACTTTCTGAAAAAACAACAACAACACAGAAGTTTTTTGTTTTTTTTCCAGGAGTGGGCGAAGAACCAACCTGCTCTTCCACCAACTGGGCGATCTCTTCATAYGTTTTCCCCGCCGATGTCAAGGCGTCAGTGAGAGTCGCCTCCCCTACGGCAGAGAGGGAATTTAAAAACGTTTGTTATTTTTAAAAATATTCTTTTGATTTTATATGAGGAAAGAAGTAAAATAAAAACGCTGTTTTTCTGTACCTTGGTATCCACTGCTGGTGAAAACAGTGGACAGGTTTTGTAAGGCTTTCCCTATTCTCTGGTATTCTTTTGGCAGAGCTGTGGAAGAGAAGACATACAGTTTACAAAATACTCGTCATAATGAGAGTTATAAAATGTAAATAATAATTACAGGCTATGGTAAAGGAGAAGCCTGTGTGTGGTAAACACTCATTAGGATTCAGAGCAGTGTGAACGTACGTCCTGTGCATCTCTTCCAGTGCTCGTTTCCRACAGTGAGGATTTCCTTCACGCCGTCGTCCATGGCCTTGGTAAACCTGCTGAACTGCTCGCATTTCTTCTCCCTGTCCACAAAAATTAAATTAAACAAYAAAGATATAATACAGATCTTTTGAAAGTTAAAGAGCAATGAATATCTTACCTGTTGCAGATGGTTCTTTGAGCRGCCTCAGTTTGAGTAAAAAAAGTTTAATTCCGAACAGACTAAGAAGTTAGAAATCCACTTTGGACTAGCCATTATCTTGTCACTTTTCACTAGTTCTCCAAACTGAGGTCGATCAAAGAGCTATCTAAAACAAGTAAGATAATAATTGTTGTTTACAGAAACTCATTTCCAAAAATCTGAACTCCTTTCCGACACCTTCTTTCAGCTGGTGACCCCTCAGGACACTGTGCCGAACACTGGGTTCAGCAAGAGTTGTTTTATTTTACACTACGTGAATTTCGTAAGCGGAGTGTGGGTGGCCGCGTTTATTTTCTGAAACCAGAGGGATATAGAATGAAGTGCACTGGTTTGGACAGAAGAGGTAGAACAGCYGGTTCGGATGTTATCAGTCCATTAAATGGACGTTATCAGCGGTTATCAGTCCCATAGAATGGCTTCAGACTGTCCCGACTGTGCCGTCTAGTGGGTTACCAGTGCCATGCACGTTGGAATGCAACAATCTGCTACTGCAGGAGTCTGGTCTACTTTATCATAGCCCATGTTATTTTCTCTAAAATTAACCTTAGTGGCTTTATGCCTCATATTAACCAGCTGACAGTCTGAAGCCATTCTATGGGACTGATAACGGCTAATAATGTCCATTTAATAGATGATAACATCTGAAACAGGTGAGGTAGAAAATGATGTTCGGTCCAGGTCAAGTCGTAACTTTTTTATTAACGTACGTAAATTACATAAACTTCGGTAACGTTCACAAGCAGGCGTGTCTCATTATGTTTTATATATAGTTTAAAATGGCCTCCAAACAATATTATCGTTTTTCAAAATAATTTCCGAGAATTTCTCGTCCAGCAAAACTCCTCCTTCAGGCTTGTTTTACCACAGCTGCTATGAGATGTAGCTTTGGTTTGGTTGAACTCACACTTCTAACGGATCCAGTTCTGGAGCGTCGGGCTCTATCGTGTTGAAGATCATCACGCCAACAGTCTCGTCTTTCTCTGCTTTTCTCTTCCCGAACTTCCAGTCCTGCACCAACCAACCCATCAACTCAGTCAAACTTAACTTTCAATAATAACACTTTTAGATCTAATCATAGACCGTTTTAACCTTTTAGCAATGCGTTGGGTTTGTAAAAGTTAAAGAACTCATGTTGTACCTTCTCATCTTTGTATGAGAGGAAAAGCTGGAACACTTCGCTGCTAGAAACAACAGGGTGTCTGCACATCCTGGTCATCCAACCCTGCAAGCGCTCCATACGCATCTTAATAAACTCTTCCTCAAAACGGCCTTCCAAATGAAACAAAAAATAAAATGAAGAAGTGTTTTTCAAGTTATACCTGCTAACATAATGTTTAATTATTTCTTAAATGGTTCCAGAGTGAGGAGCTCACCTGTCACCTGTTTATCCGGTAAAGAAGGGATGGGGATGGCTGACCCAAATTTGTCCAGGAGCCTCTCGTAGAGCCAATCAAAATGTTTGTATCTATGATTGACTGGGCGATTTGTGGTCTGCAAACCAAAAGCAGGGACAAGTCAAGGAAACATGGGACAATCATTTCAACTGAATTTGTCCCTTTGACAGTCTGAAAAGGTTTCTGCMCGCTTACGTTGGGTGTAATTTGGTACTCGATGTAACTCTTGAGGCCGTACATCTTTGAGCCTTTCTTGGGATCAGCTACGACGCAGTCCAGTTGATTTTCTGGGTAAGACCACACTGGACCAACCTCTCCCACCTGAGCACACGACACAAAGATTTAAGCCTTTTTCCACTTTGTTAACAAACAAAAACAAGTAAAAAAAGTCAGTAAAGCTGCTAAATGGTGCACCGAGTACATCTAAAATGTCAGTAGCTGCGTTTCCATTGCAAATGTGTGCAAAACTTTGTTGATATTCTGTTCATGTTGAAAAAAATTGTTTCGCAATTGCAGTGTTTCCATTAAGTAAGAAACGCTATTAAAGTCACGCGTGAATACGTTTGTTCTCGCGATAAGTCATTACAAACATGGCGGCAATGGATGTAAACACATAGCATGTTGCTACCACGACACTAGCGCTCATCATCAGCCATCAGAGGAGACATCGGCATCTTATCGAGGCTTTCGAATGACAAGCCCCTTATAATTGGGAGCGGCTACGTATGCTGTGTTTTTGGGAAAATGTAGTCGGTGAGTTTACTACTTTCTTTTACTACTTCGGTAATTTCACTACTAGCTTTACTTCCTGTTGTATTCTTCTTCAWCATCTTTTTCGCCAGTAGAAGCAGCCGGTTGTTGATCACGTGACTCCCGTGATGTGAAAAAAGTGTTTCCATTGCAGTTTTGCGAAATACATCAATTTCAATACGGCCAAAAAAAAAACCCACCTCATCCTAGCGCAAAAACATTTTGTCGAAAAACTTGATTATTTTTCAAAATTGACGTGTTTCCATTGAGCAAATTTATTTTCGAAATTCTAATTTGTGCATTTTCATGGTCAATGGAAACGCAGCTAGTAATGTGCAGGTTAGTAGATTATATTCCTGTGGATAAATATGAAGGGGTAACTTACGTAAATTGGCAGTTTATCTTTGTCTTTTGCAATCTGTTTACAAAGAAGGTAGAGCTCAGGTCCAGACTTGGAGAACCCTGGAAACCTGCTCCGAAATATACACAAAATGTCTTGATCAGTTTCAGTAACCTTTCCCACAAGGTTAAAAAACGTATAGTTTTTTTGGCAGAAACTCTCAGGGTGACTGGATTTCTATCAATTTATTACAGAGGAAATAAAATCCCAGTGAAGAGATGAATTTAAGTGATTGAATTGTTTTAACTCTTAAGATAAAAGAAAACGTTTTTAAACAAATCTCATCAGCTAAAAGAACCGAGGTCACCCGTCTCATCAAAGATGGAAGGTGATTTGTTTTTCACTCTTACTTCTGCATACTTGGTACTACTTCTGTATATTGAAACTTTCAGCTCATTCAATGAATGGGTGAAATAACTTGTTTAAGTTTAACATTTATGTTTAGACTTATTTTAGATGGCAGTGTGTATATTTGCATTGTTTTTGTCTTATTAAGCTACTTTTAGCTTTACGTTACAGTTCTGTTACTTTTAACTTCTCCATGTTTTTAGCTTTAGMTACTTATAGCTAAAGCTACTTTTAGCTAGTTTTCCTCTACAATTCTCTTACATTTAACTGGCCTATTGCTACTTTTAGGTAGCATTTGACTATTTTTATTTTGTAGATAGAACTTGCTACTTTCAGCAAATGTATTGCTTTTTTTTTTTGTTTGTTTTTAGCAAGCTTTTACCTACTTTTACCTAGCCTTCTGCTACTTTTAGTTAGGCTTYTGCTACTTTTATGTTTTAAGCGTGTTGTGTTTTATCATTCTGCTACATATAGCTAGTATTTTGTAGTACTAACTAGCCTTTCGATAATTTTAGCTTTGCTCTAACATTTTGCTATTATTAGCWTTTAACTWGCTTTTTGCTCCCTTTTAGCATTAAAACTCAGTTTCAGCTCGTTTCCACTGCCTTTTCAGAGAATATACAATCTCTCCAGTTAACTCTTGTTAKCTGTATGAAAGTTCTCATGCACTGATGTAAAATTCTTACTTGTTGAGGGATATTTTCATCGATGAATGCGTTCCACCTCGTTGCATCGCTCCACCTTCTCCTGACTCAGATTCTGCGTAGCCGCCAGCGGACTTGGCGTCGTCCCACTCGTCATCCCACTCATCAAACTCGGCCCCTGAGGTAGGATTCATCAGGCGTTAGCTTCCTATCATTGGCACCAGAAAGCAATGCTGTGCACATCGCTGCAATGCTCAACAATGTTTTGAGAGGTCCATCAGAAAAAAAAGCGATAAAACGGTCTTAAACAGCACAAATCAAAAGAATTAAAACAYACGGTGTCAAAACAAACAGTTTAAACTCCAGCTGGACATAGTAAAAGTTTTTATGCATGCATTTAGTTGGATATTAGCAATAATGTTAAAAAAAGCAAAAAACAAAACCACACATTTAGTCGTCAGATTTACCTAAATATATTTATTCCACAAAAACACATAACTTTAGCTGCATTCACTTTTTTTTAAAGCAATTTAAAATCTTTTTACAGAACTTGTGCTTTTGCTTTAGGACAGCGTCAAGATCCAAAACACAACAAAGCGGAACTTATTCTGCTAAAAGGGCAACTGCTGAGTCAAGATTTATCTGCTACATCAGCCGAAAATCAAAGATCCTGCTTCTTTGTAGCCGTCTCCTCAGAGAAGACATGAAATCTTCTTGAATCTTAAAAGAGAGTTAGAAAAAGTCCTTTTTGCAAATTAACACAAAGCTACTGTAGGGTTAGTGTTTACTTCCAAACAGGTTTTAAAAAGCAGCTCAGTTGCAGAACGTTTCACTCCTCAGCAGTTCACACATTCTAATTAGAAAACATCCATCAGGCGACAAATGGATACCTGTGTAATCAATAAGGTAAGGATAGGGGTAGATGTCTTTGACTACAGAGGAGGAGAAAAAGAAAGTCTGTTAAGGGTTTTTTTTTTCCTTTAAGCTCATTTAATTTGTTTTCTTTTTTACTAAAGAAACTCTGAGTCACGACGCTGAGGCTGACTTTTCCAGTCTGGCTTAAACAGCTGGTTCATAAAGTCGAGCATCTCCGAGGTAAGACCACTGAAAAAAGACGTGCAAGAGCTGAGAGGAAGTCAGACTCTGACTGCGCATCCAAGACAGTCAAAGTTTCAGATTACCTACATTTATTCTAGTCCACAACAAAAGATTCTTACAAATCTTTAAAGCTTAATTCTGTCTTGTGACTACAGCCAAACTTTAGCTACATGTTTGGAGAACCGTCTTTGTCAACAACCTTCGACATTTTTAAAAGTTGTTTATGTGCTGCTTTGGCCTCTATCGCAAAGACGAATCAAAGCGAGCAGCTCAACAGGAAGACCGCATCGTTTGAGCAACAGATTTATCAACTGATGTCCTCCAGCATCTGTCTGTGGGCGGAGTCCTGAAGCTGCTCTATAAACACAAGAGCTGTTTCTTTCGATCGGGTTCAACGCAGTGAATTAACTTTACTTTGTTCAAATGTTTTCTGTTTTCTTTATAGTTCAGGATCTGATCGCACACACAGGAGAGGAGGAGTCATTCAACCAACCCAAATACCAACAAAATGGAAAACAGTTTTATAAATTATTTCTCTCCACTCCTGAAATGYCAACAAAAGCTCTCATTCTWGGAGCATTTTGAATTAAGAGAATACGACCTCATTCGATTTACAAAGTTGTAAATAGAGCTGCACGATATATCGATTGAGCATCATCATCGCAGCACACGTGTGTGTAGGGGTTCCCCAAAGGGGAAATAAAACATTTCCACTTGTCTTTGACTCTGGTTTAAAGGCACAGTGTGTAAGATTTGTTGTTTTCAGCGACATCT